TGCCTCTGTCTTATTTCCTCCTTTATGGAGTGGTGCTATCTCTGCTGTTTTTAGTATGTCAGGGATAATGCCAGTATCTAGGCTTTGTCTCCAAAGAATGCGAAGGGACAGTGGTTTTTTACAGTTCTTGAGAATATGGAGTTCCAGGAATCAGGGCCTGGTGCATAGGCATATTGTCGCTGGCTTCTACAAAATCCAGTGGGGATAGGGTGACATCTGATATATGGTTTGATGTTGGCATCACATCCATGAAAAAATTATTTGGGTTATTAATCTTTTATGTGTTTAGTGGCTCGCTGAAAACAGAGTCGTACTGATTCCTCGGAATTTCGCTCATTTCTTTGTTGTCACGTGTTAAAGTTCCATCTCTCTTTCACAGGGGCCCGATACTAAATGTAGTTTTTGATCGTGATTTTACATAAGAGAAAAAATATTTTGGATTTCTCTCTATTTCATTGATGGCCTTTTGCTGTCTTTGTCTCTCTAGGATTTTGCACAATTCTTGTAGCTTTAGTCCAATTGTTTCTATTTTTCTACGTAGCCTTCTTCGTTTTTTTGAGATAGGGTGCGACTCTCAAGCTGTTTCGCGATTCGTTTTCTTCGCCATATAGAGGGAACGACGTTCGCGTTCCAGTATGCATCTCTTCTTCTTCTTTCTTAGGGGTATGCGGTTTGAGCATATTTCTAGAGCTACTGAGTTTATGTTTTTCAGGCACTGGTTCAGGTTTGCACTTTCTAGTTGTTCTTCCCAGTTTATTTCTGTGAGGGCTTGGTTTATTTGCTCCCAGTTAATCCGTTTATTATAAAAATTTAATTTGCTGAATTCTCTTCCCTTGGTGCTCGGGACTGGTTATGCAGGTCTATTCCCCATGTTTGTCAGAATTTCAATTAAGTTGTGATCTGCGTAACAGGTATTTGTAATCATTATATTCCTGATCAATTCATCATTATTAGTGAAAATGAGGTCCAACGTGTTCTTTTTTCTAGTTGGTTCCACTATTTTGCTGGTTTAAGGCAAATCTATCGCACATCGGTAGCAGGTCATTTGCATGTGCCTGTTCATTTAGGCTACTTCCTGGTATTCATTCTGAAAAACTGCATTAACTAGGTGCTTCCATTTCAGGTGCCATAGGTTGAAGTCCCCAAGTAGGATGATGTTCGGGGCTGGATTTGTGAGGTTTTCCAAGCAGTGTTCTATTTTCATTAGTTGTTCTTTAAACTGCTGAGGATTTGCCTCCGGTGGCTTATATACAAGGACAATAACTACATTTAGGATATCTATTTTGCTTACCAGCACTTCCACCATATCGTTTGTGACGCTGAGCAGCTCAGTGCAGATGAGTGTCTTTGATATACAGGCTGACCCCCCACTGTAGTCTGTGTTTCCTGTCACATCTGAAAAGATTGTACTCTGAGATCCATATTTCACCATCATGGTAGTCCTTTGTGTGGGTTTCTGTTAGGGCTGCAAACACTGCATTTGCCTCATGAAGGAGACCATCTATAAAATGAACTTTGTTGGATTTGCGTGTTTTTATTCTCTGGATGTTGGTAAATATAAATGATGTTATCCTGTTTGTGGAAGTGCTGGATGCTTTACTTGGTGTTAAAATCTGAGGCTCTGGTAGTGAGGCTTCTGCGTTTGTGTCCTCTTTAGCATTATTGAGTTATTTTTTTCAAAGTTGCAGGAAAGGTCCCCTCTCTCTTTACAGTGTTATATATGATATTTTTTAATTACAAAAAGTATGTATAAATATTTAAGAAGAATATTCCAACGAGTCAAATTTTAGTATCATCAATCGCATCGAATTCGCCGTCAGTGTTGCCAAGGCCTGTTGACAATAGGGTAGTCTCCGGTGTTATTGCGTATTTACATACATGAGTCATGTATGTAAATACGCAATAGGCTCCCTTAACTCTCTTGGTGCAGTGCTGTTTTAAACTCGCCCATGAGAAAAGTTTGAAGCACCTGTGCGTCGCATGGGGTGGAAAGTAGGACAAGACAGTGAGTGTGAGTAAAGTGAGTAAGTTTACTCCGCCGTGAGTAAAGCAGCGTGTTGTAGTAGAGAGTGGAGACTTGGTGAGGAGGGCCAGAAGTGGGAACCAAGACTGGGGTGGATATGTTCCCCTCACCTCTCACACCCCTCCTGGACCACTCTTGTCAGAGGGGAAGAGAGAGAGGCACTAGTGCTTCCCACCGCTGCCACCATTGCTTCCCACCACTGCCACCATTGCTTCCCACTGCTGCCACCATTGCTTCCCACCGGTGCCACCACTGCTTCCCACCGCTGCCATCACTGCTTCCCACCGCTGCCACCATTGCTACCCACCGCTGCCACCATTTCTTCCCACTGCTGCCACCATTGCTTCCCACCGGTGCCACCACTGCTTCCCACCGCTGCCACCACTGCTTCCCACCGCTGGCACCATTGCTTCCCACCGCTGCCAATATTGCTTCCCACTGCTGCCACCATTGCTTCCCACCGCTGCCACCACTGCTTCCCACTGCTGCCATCACTGCTTCCCACCGCTGCCACCATTGCTTCCCACTGCTGCCACCATTGCTTCCCACCGGTGCCACCATTGCTTCCCACCGCTGCCACCATTGCTTCCCACTGCTGCCACAACTGCTTCCCACCACTGCCACTATTGCTTCCCACTGCTGCCACCATTGCTTCCCACTGCTGCCACCATTGCTTGCCACTGCTGCCACCACTGCTTCCCACTGCTGCCACCATTGCTACCCACTGCTGCCATCACTGCTTCTCACTGCTGCCACCATTGCTTCCCACCGCTGCCACCATTGCTTCCCACCACTGCCACCATTGCTACCCACTGCTGCCACCACTGCTTCCCACCGCTGCCACCATTGCTTCCCACCACTGCCACCATTGCTACCCACTGCTGCCACCACTGCTTCCCACCGCTGCCACCATTGCTTCCCACTGCTGCCACAACTGCTTCCCACCACTGCCACTATTGCTTCCCACTGCTGCCACCATTGCTACCCACTGCTGCCATCACTGCTTCCCACCGCTGCCACCATTCCTTCCCACTGCTGCCACCATTGCTTGCCACTGCTGCCACCATTGCTTCCCACCGTTGCCACCATTGCTACCCACTGCTGCCATCACTGCTTCCCACCGCTGCCACCATTGCTTCCCACCGCTGCCACAACTGCTTCCCACCACTGCCACTATTGCTTCCCACTGCTGCCACCATTGCTTCCCACTGCTGCCACCATTGCTACCCACTGCTGCCACAACTGCTTCCCACCACTGCCACTATTGCTGCCCACTGCTGCCACCATTGCTTCCCACTGCTGCCACCATTGCTTGCACCGCTGCCACCATTGCTTCCCACCGCTGCCACCATTGTTACCCACTGCTGCCACCACTGCTTCCCACTGCTGCCACCATTGCTTGCCACCGCTGCCACCATTGCTTCCCACTGCTGCCATCACTGCTTCTCATCGCTGCCACCATTGCTTCCCACCGCTGCCACCATTGCTTCCCACTGCTGCCACCATTGCTTGCCACTGCTGCCACCATTGCTTGGCACTGCTGCCACCATTGCTTCCCACCGCTGCCACCATTGCTACCCACTGCTGCCACCACTGCTTCCCACTGCTGCCACCATTGCTTCCCACCGCTGCCACCATTGCTTCCCACTGCTGCCATCACTGCTTCTCACCGCTGCCACCATTGCTTCCCACCGCTGCCACCATTGCTTCCCACCGCTGCCACCATTGCTACCCACTGCTGCCATCACTGCTTCTCACCGCTGCCACCATTGCTTCCCACTGCTGCCATCACTGCTTCTCACCGCTGCCACCATTGCTTCCCACCGCTGCCACCATTGCTTCCCACTGCTGCCATCACTGCTTCTCACCGCTGCCACCATTGCTTCCCACCGCTGCCACCATTGCTACCCACTGCTGCCATCACTGTTTCTCACTGCTGCCACCATTGCTTCCCACCGCTGCCACCATTGCTACCCACTGCTGCCATCACTGCTTCTCACCGCTGCCACCATTGCTTCCCACCGCTGCCACCATTGCTTCCCACCGCTGCCACCATTGCTACCCACTGCTGCCATCACTGCTTCTCACCGCTGCCACCACTGCTTCCCACTGCTGCCATCACTGCTTCTCACCACTGCCACCATTGCTTCCCACCGCTGCCACCATTGCTTCCCACTGCTGCCATCACTGCTTCTCACCGCTGCCACCATTGCTTCCCACCGCTGCCACCATTGCTACCCACTGCTGCCATCACTGCTTCTCACCGCTGCCACCATTGCTTCCCACCGCTGCCACCATTGCTACCCACTGCTGCCATCACTGCTTCTCACCGCTGCCACCATTGCTTTCCACCGCTGCCACCATTGCTACCCACTGCTGCCACCACTGCTTCCCACCGCTGCCACCACTGCTTCTCACCGCTGCCACCATTGCTTCCAACCGCTGCCACCATTGCTTCCCACCACTGCCACCATTGCTTCTCAACGTTGCCATCACTGCTTCTCACCGCTGCCACCATTGCTTCCCACCACTGCCACCATTGCTTCCCACCGCTGCCACCATTGCTTCCCACCACTGCCATCATTGCTTCTCAACGTTGCCACCACTGCTTCCCACCGCTGCCACCATTGCTTCTCACCGTTGCCATAACTGCTTCTCACAGCTGCCACCATTGCTTCCCACCGCTGTCACCATTGCTTCCCACCGCTGCCACCATTGCTTTCCACCGCTGCCACCATTGCTTCCCACCACTGCCACCATTGCTTCTCAACGTTGCCACCACTGCTTCCCACCGCTGCCACCATTGCTTCTCACCGTTGCCATCACTGCTTCTCACTGCTGCCATCACTGCTTTCCACCGCTGTCACCATTGCTTCCCACCGCTGCCACCATTGCTTTCCACCGTTGCCATCACTGTTTCCCACCGCTGCCACCATTGCTTCCCACCGCTGCCACCATTGCTTCCCACCGCTGTCACCATTGCTTCCCACCGCTGCCACCACTGCTTCCCACTGCTGTCACCATTGCTTCCCACTGCTGCCACCATTGCTTTCCACCGTTGCCGTCACTGCTTCCCACCGCTGTCACCATTGCTTCCCACCGCTGCCACCATTGCTTTCCACCGCTGTCACCATTGCTTCCCACCGCTGCCACCATTGCTTCCCACCACTTCCACCATTGCTTCTCAACGTTGCCACCACTGCTTCCCACCGCATCCACCATTGCTTCTCACCGCTGCCACCACTGCTTCCCACCGCTGCCTCCATTGCTTCCCACCGCTGCCACCATTGTTTCCCACCGCTGTCACCATTGCTTCCCACCGCTGTCACCATTGCTTCCCACCGCTGCCACCATTGCTTCCCACTGCTGCCACCACTGCTTCCCACCGCTGTCACCACTGTTTCCCACCGCTGCCACCATTGCTTCCCACCGCTGCCACCATTGCTTCCCACCGCTGCCACCACTGCTTCCCACCGCTGCCTCCATTGCTTCCCACCGCTGTCACCATTGCTTCCCACCGCTGCCACCATTGCTTCCTACTGCTGCCACCACTGCTACCCACTGGTGCCATCACTGCTTCCCACCACTGCCACCACTGCTTCCCACCGCTGCCACCACTGCTTCCCACCGCTGCCACCAGTCGCCTGCTCTAATACTGCGTGTCTTCAACACCTGTCTGTCGGTATGTCGTCTCTCTATTTAATTATATTGCCGCTTCTCTGCTAAAACTATATCTACCCCATGGATCACCACCTCCAACTCTACCCTCCCCCTTTCCTATCTCTTCCACCACTTCCATGTATACTACCTCCCTTTCCATGTATGCTACCTCCCACTCTATGTACACTACCTCCCTCTCAATATACACTGCCTCCACCTCTATACACATACACTATACTCTTTTATACACTATACCTTCCCCTCTATACACTGCCTTCCCCTCTATACACTACCTTCCTCTCTACATACTACCTCCCCCTCTATACTCACCGTCCTGCTCTATACACTGCCTCCCCCATATTTACCGGTACAGGTGAACAGAGGCATGAGGAGTCAACCAGCGTGTCCAAACACTGCATGGAGTCCTAGAGGTTAACTCCTTCTCCCGATATCAACACAACACACAGGTCTCATACTCTCTTCTGACGTCGTGTGAACTACTTTTACCAAACTTTGGATGTTCAGATGTGCAGTTGAACACAGTCCCTCCGCTTATACACGACAGTTCCCGTCTGTTCCGTTGCGTTGTAGTTTGTGCGGGATGAACGAGTGGTGGAACAAGAGAACAAGTGGAATGCTTGTGTTTTGTTCAAAGTAAATGGTGTTTTATCTTGATGAGCGTGTAGGGGCTCATTTTGTGTAGGAGCTCACTTTGTGTAGGGGCCCACTTTGTGTAGGGGCTCACTTTGTGTAGGGGCTCACTTTGTGTAGGGGCCCACTTTGTGTAGGGGCTCACTTTGTGGAAGGGCTCACTTTGTGTAGGGGCTCACTTTGTGTAGGGGCTCACTTTGTGTAGGGGGCTCACTTTGTGTAGGGGCTCACTTTGTGTAGTGGCTCACTTTGTGTAGGGGCTCACTTTGTGTAGGGGCTCACTTTGTGTAGTGGCTCACTTTGTGTAGGGGCTCACTTTGTGTAGGGGCTCACTTTGTGTAGGGGCTCACTTTGTGTAGGGGCTCACTTTGTGTAGGGGATCACTTTGTGTAGGGGCTCACTTTGTGTAGTGGCTCACTTTGTGTAGGGGCTCACTTTGTGTAGGGGCTCACTTTGTGTAGTGGCTCACTTTGTGTAGGGGCTCACTTTGTGTAGGGGCTCACTTTGTGTAGGGGCTCACTTTGTGTAGGGGATCACTTTGTGTAGGGGCTCACTTTGTGTAGGGGTTCACTTTGTGTAGGGGCTCACTTTGTATAGTGGCTCACTTTGTGTAGTGGCTCACTTTGTGTAGGGGTTCACTTTGTGTAGGGGCTCACTTTGTGTAGGGGCTCACTTTGTGTAGGGGTTCACTTTGTGTAGGGGCTCACTTTGTGTAGGGGTTCACTTTGTGTAGGGGCTCACTTTGTGTAGGGGTTCACTTTGTGTAGGGGCTCACTTTGTGTAGGGGTTCACTTTGTGTAGGGGCTCACTTTTTGTAGGGGCTCACTTTGTGTAGTGGCTCACTTTGTGTAGGGGTTCACTTTGTGTAGGGGCTCACTTTGTGTAGTGGCTCACTTTATGTAGGGGCTCACTTTGTGAAGGGGCTCACTTTGTGTAGGGGCTCACTTTGTGTAGTGGCTCACTTTGTGTAGGGGTTCACTTTGTGTAGGGGCTCACTTTGTGTAGTGGCTCACTTTGTGTAGGGGCTCACTTTGTGTAGGGGTTCACTTTGTGTAAGGGCTCACTTTGTGTAGTGGCTCACTTTGTGTAGTGGCTCACTTTGTATAGGGGCTCACTTTGTGTAAGGGCACACTTTGTGTAGGGGCTCACTTTGAGTAGGGGCTCACGGCGTGCAGGGGCTCACTTTGTGTAGGGGCTTACTTTGTGTAGGGGCCCACGGCGTGCAGGGGCTCACTTTGTGTAGGGGTTCACTTTGTGTAGGGACTCACTTTGTGTAGTGGCTCACTTTGTGTAGTGGCTCACTTTGTGTAGGGGCTCATTTTGTGTAGGGGCTCACTTTGTGTAGTGGCTCACTTTGTGTAGTGGCTCACTTTGTGTAGGGGCTCACTTTGTGTAGGGGCTCACTTTGTGTAGGGACTCACTTTGTGTAGTGGCTCACTTTGTGTAGTGGCTCACTTTGTGTAGGGGCCCACTTTGTGTAGGGGCCCACGGCGTGCAGGGGCCCACGGTGTGATGCGGGCCCCTTATCCTCCCTCCTTCCCCTTCCTCAGTCTTGACTCCCTCTTGCACTTCAGAGTAATGACTGTCAGTGTTGCACTTCAGTGTTGCACTTCAGTGTTGCACTTCAGTGTATTATTCACTAGGAAAGGGAATAACATGTTATTCTTTTATTGTTATTTATAAAACAACTGACTCGTTGAGGACCGTCCTCTACTCTGAAATAAAAATGATTTTTACTTGTACAAATTTCTCTGTATTTGTATAAAGTTCTCTGTATTTGTATAAAGTTCTCTGTATTTGTATAAAGTTCTCTGTATTTGTATAAAGTTCTCTGTATTTGTATAAAGTTCTCTGTTTTTGTATAAAGTTCTCTGTATTTGTATAAAGTTCTCTGTATTTGTATAAAGTTCTCTGTATTTGTATAAAGTTCTCTGTATTTGTATAAAGTTCTCTGTATTTGTATAAAGTTCTCTGTATTTGTATAAAGTTCTCTGTATTTGTATAAAGTTCTCTGTATTTTATGTTTATCGCTTCTCTGTATTTATATATTGTTCATGTCACAACTCTGGCATTGCATGGTGATTTATTGTTAATAGCAATTTCTTCTTCATTATGTTTTAATAAAGTATTAATACCTAGCGCAAGTTTATATAACTGCTAAGTTGGTATATATTGATTACGTGATCTGTTGCTTGAATCTATAATTCTCTGTTAAAGATCTTTGACTAACTAGATCTTTGCTACTCTGTTAGATCTATGACTAACAAGACTAAATAGATCTATATTACCTTATCCGTGATGCCAGAATTGGACTCAGAGTCAATTGTTTAACAAGGCAGCGGCTCTGGCTTTACGAAGACCAAGTACTCCTCGTTGCAAATAACTAAACAATCTTGGAGACTGTTGCCCTTGGCCTCCGTAACCTCCTGCAGCATCAAGGTCTTGGCACCGGACGTGTTGCAGAGGACATTGACCGCATTCTTAATAGGGATAGGTGCTATCTTAAGACAGATCTATCTTAAGGATAGGTGTCCCTCGAAACAACAGGATTTTTTTTGGTGGTGATGGCAGTCTTGTGTTTGCTGCCCTCGGGGCTCAGAGATTCCCAACCTCAGGATTCCAGGAATATGCATTTTTATCAGGGTTTTAGAATGCAATTGGGCAGAATAGTGGAGCGGTACGATTTATCCATTATGTTATGTAATGTTTACATGCGACATTTGATGTGTTCAGTTCATCTTTTCCTTTTTTCTAACATTCCTCGCCAGTGTCTCCTATGCGTTAATTATTAAAGACTGGAGAAAGTAGAATTTAGGGAATGTGTGTAAACATGCAAGAAAGCCAAGGAAAGTAGCACTGTTGCAGACAACAGAAGCATTAGCATGCAAATGATAGTGAAGAGAGTGCATGGCTGTGGTATAGTCATGGCGAGACTGCATGGATGGCACTATGGTTGCCACGGGTGGTTGATGTCCCTATGGTTGCCAGGGGTGGTTGATGTCCCTATGGTTGCCAGGGGTGGTTGATGTCCCCATGGTTGCCAGGGGTGGTTGATGTCCCCATGGTTGCCAGGGATGGTTGATGTCCCTATGGTTGCCAGGGGTGGTTGATGTCCCCATGGTTGCCAGGGGTGGTTGATGTCCCTATGGTTGCCAGGGGTGGTCAGGGGTGGTTGATGTCCCTATGGTTGCCAGGGGTGGTTGATGTCCCTATGGTTGCCAGGGGTGGTCAGGGGTGGTTGATGTCCCTATGGTTGCCAACGGTGGTTGATGTCCCCATGGTTGCCAGGGGTGGTTGATGTCCCTATGGTTGCCAGGGGTGGTCAGGGGTGGTTGATGTCCCTATGGTTGCCAGGGGTGGTCAGGGGTGGTTGATGTCCCTATGGTTGCCAACGGTGGTTGATGTCCCCATGGTTGCCAGGGGTGGGTCATGCCCCCATGGTTGCCAGGGATGGATGATGTCCCCATGGTTGCCAGGGGTGGGTCATTTCCCCATGGTTGCCAGGGGTGGGTCATTTCCCCATGGTTGCCAGGGATGGGTCATGCCCCCCATGGTTGCCAGGGATGGGTCATGTCCCCATGGTTGCCAGGGATGGGTCATGCCCCCATGGTTGCCAGGGATGGATGATGTCCCCATGGTTGCCAGGGGTGGGTCATGCCCCCATGGTTGCCAGGGATGGGTCATGTCCCCATGGTTGCCAGGGATGGGTCATGCCCCCATGGTTGCCAGGGATGGGTCATGTCCCCATGGTTGCCAGGGGTGGGTCATGCCCCCATGGTTGCCAGGGATGGTTGATGTCCCCATGGTTGCCAGGGATGGGTCATGCCCCCATGGTTGTCAGGGATGGGTCATGTCCCCATGGTTGCCAGGGGTGGGTCATGTCCCCATGGTTGCCAGGGATGGGTCATGTC